GACTGCTGGTTTGGGGTTTGGGTTTATTGACGAGATTGAAGTTTAAGCATCCCGTCTAGGTATTTAAGGTTCCGGGTTGTGGGGCTCCCTCCTTTTAGGGGTCTGAGGCTGAGGGCTTTAAGGGCTTCAGGCGTGAGGGGTTGAGGCTTCGAGTCCCGACTGGAGGACAGGGTGATTTAAAGTAGGTACCGCAGACGGAGACCCAACCGAGACCAGCCCCCATCTTAGCCGAAGGATTTTTCACAAGTTTAGCTGACAAAAGGGCCTTTGCTAAAGGATTCTCCGATCTAGCTTTCAACAACAAACTACAACAAAGCACGACACCCAGAATGCAGACACAAGCGACTAGTAGCTACGGTTTACAGGACTCGGCGCGCAAAATCTCAACACGCTTATAGCCGAGAGGATACTTTGGCATGGGATATTTCGTTGTCTGCCTGATGCCCCCACAAAACAAGTAAACAAGCAGCAGGCAAACTGCCTTTTTGACTTCCCATTTGCACTCCGTCTCTTTGACCGCAAACGAAGGAACGTAAAGACGCAACAACTCTGAACAGCGCTAAAGACGCCTAAAATGCAGAAGCACCGAACCACGAAACCGGATCAGCTTCTGGTCAGAATATGCGTGCTCGCAAGTCTGATTACTTGCTTTGGCTTGTGAGGCTCCACATTATTGGTTTAGGGTTGAGGGTCTTTCGTTGCTTCGGTTTCTAGCTAGAGTACAAGTGGTCCAGTTGGTGGTTTTTCTATCCCACTCTCTTGCATTCTGATAGTTTCGGACTCGTGTTCCTTCCCCTCCCACTTTGTAGGTTCAAGCTTGCATGTGTGTACATAACACAACCATGGGCCAATAGGATGTTCAGATACCTTGGCACATAGGCAGCCTCTATTCTTCTTTGATAGGTTCAAATAACATTAAGTAGGTGGTGGGCACGTTAGAAATCGGTAGAAATGCAGATAGACAGACAACGCGGGTATCACAACAACACTTTGATTCCGAATAGACCCACATCTGTGAGCATGATAGGAGCAACGAGTAAGTAGGGTCGACGGGCGGATCAGACAGAGACAGTTTCTCTTCTCCCGAAACATGTACATGCCCCATAAATTTGTGCGTGCACGTCCGTATATGAGAACTGTCGGCCGAGCTCTTGGCGGGCTCTGTGACGGGAACCGGATCGTCTCCCCAATTGTTCCTGAGGACGGGTTAATAATTGTAGTGACTGTGGCGTGATGAAGCTTGTAGGTTTTAGGCCTTATGTGTTTTGGGAGAGGCATTGTGACTTTCTTAGAACATCTCCAGGGCTGGGTTAAGGTTATGCAGGCTTTTTAAGGCTGTCTAACCGGATCTACGCATGGGTTTTGCGGTGCAGTTTTCCGGGATTGGGGGCCGTGATGGGCCGTGTAATTTCAGAGAGAGAGTCTGAGGGTATGGTCCCGATCCCGAATACAACCATCGGGACAAGAAAGGAAGCTCTCCGAGTGGCCACACTGGCCCTGTTGAGTCACATCTTTCTGGGCAGTGCAGTCATGGCCCGTTTGGGTGTGATTCAATCTGTTGAAAAGTTACAAGAAGGCACGGAGGAGTATAGTAATCCCCAAACCAATAGCCCATTAACCTCAAGCCCAAAACTTAAAAGCCCTTAAAGTCTGAACCCTTCAACCACACACCTAACCCTGCTCGTTCGAAGAGAATCCCAGCGGGTCCGCATTACGAGTGAGGCATCACGGTTTACGATTTAAGGCCTAGTGTTCAGGGTGTTGAGATGGTCTGCAGTGAACTGAAGGTACTGTTCTGCTAACAACCCCAAATGGCAACCTTGGCATAAGAGCCCACGTCGGACTCGGGGGTTTATCGCAGGATTGCGAAGCCACTGCTACTGGCTGCAGCTTGGCGTCAGCTTCGCCGGCAAGCTGGCATCCTCACGGAGCCCCAAATCATCAAGGCCACGAACCTTGAACCCCAAACCCTAACGCTAGACGCCTCACTTCCTAAATCAAACCCCCCCAAACCTTCATAGCCCCGACCCCAAGATCCAACCCCGCTAACCGCTCGAATCCCCTCGAATCTGAAATTCCATCCCACCCTTTGACCGCTTCAGCCCTGAACCCTTCGGGTGATGTGTAATACGTTCCAAAAATCAAGACGTGTGGAAGTTTCGAAAAGAACGGCGACCCGGACTTTGACCCAGATTGCCTTAAATGATGCAATCGGTATTCTAATGGGTTTAAAGAAGGCACCCTACTAGTAGTTAGTTTTGCAATTCCCACTGTGACGTTTTCCAGAATGCAGGGTTCTTCGGGGAGTCCAGGCTCTGGGGCATTACAGACTTGACGGGCTTTAGGGCTTTATGAGATTAGGGGCCTTAGAGCTTCGGAGTTGAGGGGTTTAGGGTTGTAGGCTTGTGGGTGTTGATGGCGTGGGATTGTGGTTTTTCGGGCCATGCTGTCGATGTTTAAGGTCGATGTTTAAGGTTCGATCAGGACAGAGGAGGGAACAGTGCTGGTAGCACCAAAGAATGGGTGATGACTGATGAGTAGGCCGTTGAACAAGATCGTGGCTATTGCGCCCTGGGGCCAAGAAGGGCCGCGGTTCAGAAGGTGAGTTTAGAATCATGCAGTGAGCAGCGGCTCAGATTGTCGTTGTATCATCTGGCCGGAGAGCATGCTGCATTAAATGTGTCACAGTGTCACTAAGTTGTACAATGCATGCCACTCTACACTCACGCCCGCATGACGCTGCCCTGTCCTTGGTGACATCGAAAAGTCTCGTGCCAGTCGCAGCTTCGAACCAGCGCGGGTTCGACAAGCGGACCGACGGCACCTGGCAGCGTTTGCACTGCGAGTATCTTGCCGATGGTTCTTGCATGACTCAGCGCAGCAGCACAGCGAGACCCATCCCCCAAACCCAAATGCATAACATGCCCAACCGCTACACCCTCCGCCTCGTCGAGGATGCAGTCCACTTGTGTGAAAGAGCAGGAGTCACCCATAGCCTGCGATGTAGAAGCCAAGATGTCCCCACTGTATTGATCGCATGGCGCAGCAACAGACGGAGAGCCTACTTGCTTGACAACAGTAGCAAACGACAGGCCAAGCAAGCCTCCGTAACGAAACCACAGGAAAGCCTACCGGCAGGAGCTTCGCGATGTGACAGCAGGTCTTGCTGCCTGTCCTAGACCCCTGGATCCTAAACACACAACCCCAGAGCCGAAGCACAAGAGGCCGTTAGCCGAGCCGGCGGTCGAATACCAGGCCTGGCTACCGAGAGACAAGAGCCCAATCTCGCCACCAACGGGTGCCCATTGACAGCCTGGTCAGGTTTGGGAGTTTAGGGGCCTGGATTTAGGTATTTGGAATTTAGGGTTCATAGTGGTCAGTGAGTTCAATGAGATCAGTGAGGAGGAACTAGGTTTCACGGATTACAGTGATTTCGTTGCGAGCCCTTCTTCTGGTTTACTGTAGGGTTCCCGGTTTGCGGACAGAGTCGTGTGCCTTCCATGTGGTGTCAAGTATGCAACTGCTGAGCAGTCGGATCTCTCTGGTTCTTGGAGGAAAAACACCTAGCTTCAAGAAGCTCGGGTGACAGATATTGTTGGACACCCAGCATGGTTGTAGAATCTGCCATATAGGCCTTGCCGCTTCCCTAATGTAGGGGCCTTAATAGTCAGAATAGGGTCTTGGGGCCCATTATACTAGCATTAGATTAAGGACCCTCAAAATATTATGGGTAATTATTGAGGCCCCATAATTAAACCACAAGCCCTAAAGCCCTTAACGCCGGAAGCTCTGTCCTGCTAGCCTCATGCATTGCTTGCTACATACCACAAGCATTTCTCGGAGCATCACCTACGCCAGCTTGATTTCTGGAGGACCCTGGCGCGAAACCCTAAACCCTAAACCGAAACTCTAAACCCCTAAACACTAAACCCCAAACCCTAAACCCTAAAACCCTAAAACCCTAAACCCCAAACCCTAAACCCTAAAACCCTAAACCCAACTTCCCTGGGAATTAAGCAGCCTCCGTTCTGCTCAGTGATCGCCCACAGCCTCAGCAAGTCGCTTCGAGGGTCTAGGGCCTAGACAAGTATGTCAGCTTGTCAGTAGGTGTGTTCACATATATATATATATATGTATATGTGTGTATATACACATGTATGCATATATGTTTTTTTCAGGTTCCTTTGCATTGACTAAACATTTTGCAGTCGCAGTGACCGTCAGCGTCGTCGTCGTATTGTTAGTAGCAGCATCAGCAAAAGCAGTAGCAGCAACGGCAGTAGCCATAGTCGTAGCAGCAGACAAGGAAGTAGGAGAACAGGTAGCACTAGCAGCAGCAGCCGCAACAGTCTTGATTACAGTTTTGAGGCAGGTAACTAGGTACTACTATCGCGACAAATGTTTGTCTTTCTCTCTAGAACCGTAAGTACAGGTATATACGCACATACCGAACTTCTTGCTGTGCATAAAGTTTACGGCGGTGTTTTTTTGTTTTTATAGTTTTCTCTCTCTCTCTCTCTCTCTCTCTCTCTCTCTCTCTTTCTGTCTAAGTGTATATATATATATATATATAAATATATATATATATATATATACAGATAATAATTAAATGTGTACACACACACATATATATATATATATATATGTATTTATAACTGTTACGTGCTGTTGTATCACCATTAGAGGCTCTCCGAAGCAGTAGCCGGGCTCTCCCGCGGAATCGTACGCCCGAAGCCACGGCAGTTGCTGAAATAGGGCAGGTAGGGCAGAAAGATCTCCTTAGTCGCAGTTTTGAAAGGCTGCGCTCGGCAACGTGACCTGTGAAGGACACTCAGTGAAGGACTCACAGGCAGCATGCGAGTGAAGAAAGAGATAGGCTCGTACTGAAAGGACTAGTGCGATAAAAGCACAACTTCACACCCCTGAAATCTAAATGTTTAAACCCCCAAATCCTATAGCGACATCAGTCAGCGGCAACAGAGACAACAGCCTGTCACGTCTTAAACAGCTGAAGACCTCAGCGAAGTTGAGAGCGGCGCTGTCGAGTCGGCCCAATACTGAGACTTGTCTTCGAAGACGTACTCCAGCTCACCACCCTGGGTTTGCAGTTGTGGGCCCACTCTGAACCCTCAGCCATCAGCATTTCAGATTGGGATCTTCTCAGTCTCTCGATATATCGGCGACTCCAACAAAAAGAAACAGCTGAGATTGCTGCTCCGACTGCTGAGAAGAGTGGTCGCATGTAGTTCTCCAGCTTCATCTCCAACGGAAGCCAGTTCAGGAAGACCTGCACGCTAGGCTTAGGGCTTAGGCTCCAGGGCTTGGACTAGGCCACAGTTGCGCTGAACCCATAGGCTATAAACCCTGCAAGCCCTAATCCCCAAAATCCTAAACCTATCAAGCAAGCCTAAATCCAACAAGGCTCTGTGCGCTCCGTTGGCTTTCTCTCCTCACCTGATCACACTTCCTATGTCCTCTTTCGGCAAGCACTGTCGCTTCCAAGCCTTGTGCTTTGACTGAAAGTTTATAGGCCTTCAGGTTTTGAAACGCTTTTAGTGCTGAGGCGGTCTTTGGGTTTCTTTATTCAATCATCTTCCAACTTCGGTCTGCAGGGGATGTCACCCGCGCTGCAGAGTGGGCAACGTTTGCCGTTTGCAGCGGTATTGCCGCCCCAATAGGTGCGGAACAGGATCCTAAACTTTTCTAAAACCCAACTTGAACCTCAAGCACTCATGACCTGACACATCCACCCCGCCCTTCGGCTTCCAAAACCCTACAGAACGCCTCTTTGGGCTTGGATTCAGGGTCTCGGACCAACGATTGAATTGGGGACCCTAAGGTTACTTTAAAGGGTTCCTTAAAGGGATCTATAAGGGTTCTATAAAGGGTTTAGGGTTTAGGGAGTTTCCAAAAATAGGGGACCCTAATATAGTACCCTACATGGTAGGATCCTTATTATAAGGGCCCCAAAATCAAGGTACCCCCTAATTTTCGGAAACTCCCATGTGGTCAACGGAGCCGGAGCTAAGCGTTGTGTGTGCACCCTCCACCATTCTGACGCAGATGCGCCAAGGACGGTGACATAGAACTGTGCGAAGTGTGGCCACTCTTTTGCCAGCGTCTGAAATCTGAATCGTGGCTTTTTCCTCGATCCCGTTTGGAAGACGAGTCTCATTTTGAGTTCTCCCCCGCAAATCCAATGGAGGCTGACGGCAGCCGTGGAACACAAGTCCTGTGTAAGCAACCTGTGCAGACTTCCCTCCAAACCCTAAACCCTAAACCCGTAAACTTGGCGCCTGTGTGAGGATCTGCTGATTCGCCCCCTCTTCGAAGGACTTGAGAGGCATGTTCGCCGGCCTCATCGGGTGAAGTACTTCAAAGGGGAAAGGAGGGACCCTTAATGGGGACCCCTACCCTATAATGGGCTATATAATGGGTATATCATAGCTATATTAAGGGTATATACCTAGGAGTCCTTATTAAGGGTCCCTCCTTTTACCCTTGGAGTACTCTTTGAGAAAGTCCCCCATCCCTAGATGCTCGAAGCTATGCGTGGTTGTGGTACATCGATGAGCAAGGCCAGGATACCTTCAGTGGCTGACTTCGAAGCATCATAGAGAAATGTGCAACGATGGGGCATGCAAACCCTAATCCCCAGACCCTATGCAACAGAAATACAAAGATATGTCGGATGCGATGATACAATAGGACATGATATGACCTACTATGATACAATAGAATACGGTATAGTAGTGTATCGCATAGTGAACTGTAATATAGTAACGTCTATTCATTACAATACAGTCAAAGTGTACCAAAGTATGTATAGTATAGTGTAACATACCATAACATGTACTACAAAATACTATCACAGATGATATTACAGCTTGATATTTCAAATCCGAGGGCATGGCAGCTCGATCTGCAGGTCGCTGTTCAGCATAATCGCAAAGGCCCTGGGCTTCCAGGCATCTCCATGCTTTTCTTGGAGTGGGGAGGGAGGGGTTGGGGGTTTAGGAGCTTTAGGAGCTTGGGGCTTAGGGATTTAGGGTTTGGCTGGGTTTAGGGGGCTTTGCGTTCATGGACAAGAACAGCAAGAACTAGTGTTCGTAGCAATAAGAATACCACACATGCACAGGAAATATTACAATTACAAGCTTCCAGCCGCTTGTGCTACCATCGCCGCTACTTCCTGGCTGGTAACAAATGGTTACTACGTTTACTGCCATCTACCGCGGCGACAACGATCACGACGAACACCACCACAGCTCTTCTCATCTACTGGCTGCGAGTACGACCACGATGACTACTGACTGAATAACTACTGCTACTGTGGCTGCGGCTGTGCTGCTGCTTACCGCCGCTGTTGCTTTCACTACGGCCACTGTGATGTCTACGACGAGGACAAGACGAATACAATCTTCAGCACTGCCAATGCTGCTGCAGAATTGCGACGAGGACTACCACTTACTACACGCCTGCTCCTGCCACTCCCGCTACTCCTACTCCTACTTCTCCGGGTGCTACTACAACTATTATTATTATTACTATTATTATTATTACTACTACTACTACTACGACTACTTGTACTCCTGCTGCTACTACTACTACTACTACTACTACTACCACTACCACTACTACTACTACTACTACCACTACTACTACTACTGCTACTGCTACTGCTACTGCTACTACTACTACTACTACTACTACTAGCCACCCCCCCCCTCCCAACTACACTTGTTCCATCCGGGCTGGGCAGCGGTAGCTGCTAGGCGCCTTAACTGCGATAGTTGCAGAAGATGCACGGGCTCAGGCTCCTTATCTGTGACAGCTGCAGAAGTTGCAGAGGCTCAGTTGCCTTAACTGTCACAGCCGGTGAAGTTGCAGGGGCTCAGGCCCCAAAACTGCCACAGCAGCTGGAGTTGCAAGCTCGACGGGGAAGAAACTGATAAACCCCAGATGTTTGGATAGTACGAAAACGCTATAAATACCGTGCAAAACCCAGGTGCTGCCAACAAGGGTTTAACGTTTCTAAAACCTGAAGCGCAACATCTTCTGAACATCAAAAACAAATATGCCAGCTGTACGTGGGAGGGGCTCGCCAACACCCCTACCGCCCAACCTCTGCGTAGGAGGGTCTGTTTTTGAAGTGGTGTGTGTGGTGTGTGCGCGCTTGAGTGTGGAAATATTGTTCAGGGTGTCCGCAAAACAGTGTCGTGCTTTTCCTTTAGAAGCTTTCCCCAACCCAATTTCGAGTTTTTTTTGCAAACAGTTCCAAAGAGCAAAGTTTAATACGCATGGTCGAGAAGTAGGGGCTCAGAATATGTAACTAAGTCTGACATCACGAAAGTACCGTAAATACCGAGTTAAACGGCTCTTGTGGTGATACTGCTGGGTGTGTTCGCGTAACACTGTCGTCATCATCCCCCCCCACCCACCCTCCAGAAGCAAGTCCAAAATCAAGAGCCCGAGTTTGCAAACTCGACAAGTCGATTTTTGGGCCTCTTAGGATGATCGCACATGACGAAAGTTCCGTAAATACCGAGTAAAATGGATGTTGTCTTAACATGGTTGAGAGCAAGTGTAGTTGGTAGGGGGGGGTGCCTACTACTACTACTACTACTACTACTACTACTACTACTACTACTACTACGTCGTACTACTACGTCGTACTACTACGTCGTACTACTACGTACTACTACGTACTACTACGTACTACTACGTACTACTACGTACTACGAACTACGTACTACGTACTGCGTACTACGTACTGCTGCTACTACTACTACTACTACTACTACTACTACTACTACTACTACTACTACTACTAGTGCTACTACTGCGAAAAGTCAAAATACCAATACTTTACTTCTACTATTCTGACTACGGGCACCATGATTGGTTTGCTGTGTCGTCAAAACTGAGCTCACTCGGGCAGCAGCTTCTTGGTGTCAACTTCGGCGCGTGCCTTTCAGGAAGCTTGAGATGAGGATTGAGTGTATCAGTTTCCAGGTGAGGCTGGAATTTAGGCCTGAAGTTTTCGGGACTTTGGAGAAGAACGTTGGCGGGATGAAAATTAGTTGAGGTAAACCGTCCGGCTTGCGGATCCCAGCCCGCTCCACTGAGCGCCGCACGGGCTCTGCGTACTCCACAAGCGCTGAGCTTAAGAGCATGAAGGCCTCAGGGACTGTTTCAGGGTTTAGGGGTTTAGGGACTGTTGCTTGGTTAAAGTTTGTGGGGATTTGAGGCCCTGCGCTTTGGTCTTGGTTGATGTGTTTTGGACTATATTGAGTACACTGTATGATGTATGAACGTCCATTTAACGCGAGCATACGCTACCTCGGTCGAGGCTCGCATCTACCATCGGCTTTGCTACACCAAACGACCTGAGGACGGCACATCGGGCTGGTACACACCATCCACAATCTGAACTTCCACCTGGGAGCAAGCTTGAGAGATTGGTTGTTCGGGCATTCCGCGTGGGATCGTCGATGCTTTCAGCTTCTAAAAAAATCGTGCGTTGCAAGCATTGCGCTGGCTCAATGACAACTCCAACAACCAAAACAGGGTGCCTACCCGTGATTTCTTCTGAGTTGCTCGAGCCTACCTTCTTGTTCGCTGGCAACAGACTACTCACACATGTCTTGACAGCTGCTTCTCTTCTGCGGGCACCATGCTACCATCCAAACATGCCCACACAAGCCCTAACTCCAACACTGGCTTATACGAAGCCTACTCCGTGAACCCATTGCCCCTATAGACCTTGAGCACTCCCACGCTAAGCCTTCTGCAGGCATGTGGACCTGAGGGTAACTTGGAGCCCCACGCGCCACTCAATGTCCACGATGGGATGGAGCCTAAATTCTCACATGAGAGGGTTGCTCGCGAAGTGTCTGACAAGAAAAGCAAATTGGGAATACACCTCCTCAGGAAACACATCTGCCAAAGGCTTCGTTTCGGGCAACTCTTGAGAGAGGTTTTCTGGACAGGTACGATATGAAGCAATGGCTCACGACTAGTATACCCCTAAAGCTCCTATATATATATATATATATATACATATATATATATATAGATAGATAGATAGATACAGCGAAGATACACGAATATGCGTGCCGAAACCCGCTTCAGCTACGGTCTGGAGTAGGGTCTATTTCAGGGTTTACCTGCTCTTGGTTCATGGGCTCCCCTGTCTCAGAAGCTCTACCTGGGACAATCGCAATGCACCGATGGGAAAACTCTTCGTAATTACCCGACTCTGCGGAAGGCGGCCGAAGGTTCTCTAGGCTGAAGCCCCCTGATGTTCCAAACTAAGTCAAGTATACTCCCATGGGTGCAGAACAAACGCGAATCTCGAGCGCCGTGTCGCAGAAAGCAAAGATCCTAGACATCTGGCTTCTGCAACCCACCTTGTAAGCGCTTGCATGTCATGCCAAACTACCATCCGGAAACTAGTGCCCCACCTCAACACCCCAGAACATTCGCAGCACAAGCCAAGCGCCAGACAAGAATGTGAAGACTCCGTTTGCCAGGCCTCCTGCACCCCTTTCAAGGCCCTGCGGCGGCTTCTCGCGAATTGGAACTACTTTGGATGAGGACCCGTGGAGGGACCTGAGACCGTTGACTCTGGGGGACTAGACTTCTAAAGCCTACAGTATGATGAGGACCCGGCAACGCTTCCGAATTTGTACAAACAAAGTCTGTGGCATAGCCTTTCACCAGGATGCAGGCAAGGTACAACATCAGATTCAGCACAAGAGCTTAAATTCTCATGACTGGGCTCGTGACTCTTGATTTTCCGACCGTTGCTATCCGTGATCAACCTGTTGTCTGGCTAGTCGCAGGTGGACTCCAATAATGGAGCAAATAGAAAGCAAATCTGAATCGCCACATCAAAGAACTCCTCCTCCCCTCAAAGCGGAAGCCCAGGGCTCAATAAACCCCAGACCCTTGTGGTACACCCTTGTAGAACACGTATATAGTATAGCAAAACCCGAAAATCGCAACGCGACACCGTACTTCCCAGCAACATTCTCATCGTTCCTATTACCCTGACTAGTCTGATGACTGCTATTATGAAGATGACTACTATAACTGCCGTTACTACTCCCACTACTACAAGACTAATTCTACTTATCTTTTTGTGACTTTATCTCCAATGTAGGGGCCTTAATTATTAGAAGATGGTTTTGGGGCCCATTCATTCTACTTTTGTTATAATGAGGAACCCCCAAAATGCTATAGGCAAGTACTTAAGGCACCTATACTGGACTTTGAAGTAATCAGAGAGAAAAAAGTACAGACTCTTATCTCATAAAGGCTCCTTTCAGGAACCGGTACCCAAAAAAGTTTCAAGTATGGTACTCCAAACCCAGGTATAATCTCCTGGTTGATTTTTCCGGGGGGGGGGGAATTCCCTCCCAGCCTCTTGCTCAAAGGCCGGCGGCAAAGAGATCTCAGCCTGAGAGCGCCGAGGATTTTTGGGGGCGGCTTTCCCTTCAAGGATCTTAAAGAAACCCTTATAAAGGAACCCTTAAGGGGCTAAGCACTCTTAGGGTTTGGGGTTTACGGTTTAGGGGTTCTTAGGGGTTTTGGGTTTGGGGCTCTTAGGGCTCGAAGGGTTTAGGGTTTTGGGCTTGCAAGGACGGGTTCCTTTCAGGGATCTAGATCTGGATGGAGGGCCGTTCTGCTTCGCCCCTGGGCATCCCACACAGCCACGGCTCTTGGCGATCTTCACATCGAGATCTCGCTTTTCCGGTGTCCTTTTTTCTCAAGGTTCCATAAGATGCTGTGCGGATGTTTGTTTGGGCTTTGAGGTTCGCCCTTTCTGGTATCCTGGAAGAGGCATGCTTGACAAACGTGCCACTATGTATGAGAGGAAGCTGTAATGCAACAAGAGCTGACTTCGCACGATCTGCATCCATGCCTGCATACATGCAGACAGACATGCGGTCATCAAACATGTTGTGTTGACTGGTATAGGGCTGGGAATCATGTACAGCACTCTGTAGCTACAGCTAGTTATGGCCTGGTGGAAACTGATTCAGGACACTTGATAGAGACTGTCAATACTAAGGGTATGATCTTTGCTGAGAGGCGCGTACAACACAATACACTACAACTTTGCTGTGAGGCAGTGCAGCCTGCTGTGCCATCGCATTAGCGGTATTCGAAATGTTGCTGAAGTTGTTCCGACCTCAAAATACTCCTTGTAGTAACCCTGCAGTAACCAGCACTTATTATAGTAATGCTCACAACACCCCTTGTCGCAACCCTTCTAGCAGCCCGTGTACTCTAACTTGCATAATGTAAGGGCCTTCACAGTCGGAACAGGGCTTCGAGGCCCCTTAAACGATAATGAAAGTAAGGAGCCCCCCAAAATAGTATAGGTATTTTTTAAGCCCCTGTACCATCGAGCCATACTAATAGATCCCTTATAGGCCCCTTTAAGGGACGCGTTAAAGGAAATATAACCCTCAAACACAGAAGCAGTAGCCCGTGTACCGCAGCCCTGTCCTCGCAGCGACCAAGGCATGACACTCGATCGGGTCGCTGTAGAGCGGGTCAAGCCTCAGCCATATCTTGGGACTTTGCTCCTTTACCTTAACCCTGAATAACCTTTTTAAGGTTGCTTATTATGATTTCCTTATATAAGCCCTTAAAAAGGTAGGTTATTCCAGTTTAAGGTTGGGTTTAGGGTTTAAGGTCTCCGAAGATCTGATTTCTTGTGGGCACTGAAATGGCCTTCTTGTTCTCTGAATAAATTCAATGCTCAGCTGTCAGCTTGCTTTCTGTGAACTGCCAGTTGCGCGAGATTGGACCTCCGGTTTAGGACGTAGGCTTCTCAGTCGTCCGAGGGCGCCTCAAAACAGATTGAAGTTCGAGCACAGCCCACTGAAACCCTTGCCTTGGAGGCTTTGGGAGTTTCTTGGAGGTGAGCTTGAAGCAAGGGAAACGTTCAACTTAGACCTAGGCCCTGAGCTCGTGAACCCTAATCGCCCTCAGCGACAGGTACCGTGTTGTCGGAAAGGTTTTGCCCGCTCACCGCGCAAGTGATGGTCTGAATATAATTATGATCATTATGGGTTGTGCTTCGACTTCCTACCACCAGGACGGGCATTACTCTTAATCTTCGACTACAACGACGAAACAAATGCCCTGAGGCCGTGGATGCTGCACGGCGGAGACTCCAAGAAAAGAAAGCTGACATGTGACAGGACACGCACCAGTGAAGGATTTGTTAAGGCGGACATCAAAGGAACATACAACAGTGACTACAGGCGCGGGAGCGGAGGTCTGACAACAGCATTGCGGTTCCATTATTCGTGCCAGAGTTTCAGAGAATCCATGGACCCTACATATGAGGATCATTAACCCCTGAACAAGGTACCCCAAGCATCAAAACCGTCTCACTCCTCCTTGTGACCAACTTTCAGGACTCCCCTGAACCCCATAAACTAAACCCTAACGGTTTGGTTTAGGGGTTTAGGGTTTTTAGGGTGTAGGGCACCCCCCAAACCGCCCACACCCGCACCCTTGAAGCCCTTTAAAGACCTCCTCAGCACCCGGCTCCGAGCCCACGTAGAACTTGATGCGCCAATGCTTCCCGTACACCGTCTGCAGACAGCTCCGGGGTGGGGGTTGGGATTTAGGGCTTGTTTAGGGTTTCGGGTTTTAGGGTAGTTTAGAACACCCGATCCAAAGTTCATGCGCCTCGAGCACGTCGGATTAACACAAACGACTACAGTGACAACAGCAGCAACATTGGCAATACCGACGACAACGATCACACTGAGCATCATCGCAGCAGCATCGCGTCGTCGTGATCACAAGTACTACAATCCAATTTTAGATCCTCGTTCTTTTCCTTGATGTCAGCATCCTTTACGTCTTCTTCGTCATCCCCATTGTCACCACCAGAGACGGAATGATTAGAAACATGCCATGAAAATGACAACAACTAAGTGATGGAGACCCCTCGAACGAGCCACCCCTTGAAAGCAAAGGCCCAAATGGGAGTTTCCGAAACTTAGGGGTATCTTACTTTGGGTCCAAAAAATAAGGGATCCTACTATTTAGGGTACCGTATTTTTCGGAAACTCCCAAATCGCAAATCGTCCCCCTCCCCTGGGGCACGGCTCGCGCTCCTCTTGGGGCAAGTGCCGCACGTCGAAGGTGACCAGGGTCACACTTCCCGCAGTGGCTGCATAGACAGGCCGGAACTCCCTGAGCTTGAGATGGGCTTCGAGAGACGAAAAAACTTCGGAGTGCATTATGTAAGAGCTCTGATACTGAATATTCTCCCATCCAGGGTCGATGTCACCATCTCTCACCTTCTGCAACTCCGATTTGCACCTTTAGGGTTCAACCCGCACTTACACAGTGCATGAGCAGGGTTTCGAAGAATTCGTTACCAGCCTGGCAAGTTCGGATGCCCTCCCATCACCCGGCAGCCTTCAGCCCCAAGTATTGAAGGATGGAGCCCTCTGTTCTCGATTTGGAGGAGCCGCTCATGTGTCGCTGTGGTAGAAACTGAGATTGATGACGCCGGAAACGCAGGTTCTCATCTCAGCTTTTCTACACTGGGTTTACCTTCAATGTACCACTGTTTCATCACTATATTGAGCTGATAATAGGGAGCGCCATAACCTCAAAGGAAATCCCCTTGCCTGTGGCCTGTGCAGCACTTCATGCTGCCTTCAACCCCTAACAGCGGATCTGGTGCTTCTAAACTACCTCAACCAGATTAAATGATTAACGTGCAGCGCCCTGATTCGTGTTAGCCTCGGTGCACATGAGCATCGACTAACATAGGGGCCTTAGTGATTCGAATACTTACCTTTGGTTAAGTAGGGAATGGAGGAACGGGGTACAATTATAACTACTATTGCTACCATTTACTAACCAACGGTAAGAATAGGGTTTGGGGAGCCTGCCTGTTGCCTGATGCCTCAAGCGGCCAAGGCTGCCACCCTTCGTTGATTTCCGGATCGCCTGCCGATTTGACCTCAGGGTTTCTCAGGCAAAGCTCACAATGCGAGGGGTTGTGTGCTGCGTTGGAGGCCGAAGGCATCCCAAAGGCTCGTGACGCTCGAAGTCAGATTGGAGCTCAGGATCGTGGCCCACTTCTTGGGAGAAGCTGCCGTGTCCACCTCAGCTGAAGCCGCAGCGGCTGACAGTTTAACTGGGAGCCTGAGAGAATGTGGGGCCCTACCTTAGAATCTACAAGTAATAGGATCCATATAGTTATAGGACCCCCCAAATGGGGTCCCTTAGTTTTCTGAACCCCCCACCCCCCAGCTGCAATTCCCTAGGAGACAGCGTCGGATCAGTTATCAGCAAAGCAAAAACGGCAGAGTCAGCACGGAAGACGAGACAGCAGTCAACACCCGGAGCTTCCTAAATCAGCCAGCTTATCGTTCAACGTCGAAAGCCCTAAACCCCCCTAAACCCAAAACCCTAAAACCCAAAACCCCATGAGGCCAGGACCGGGTTGATCCTCTGCACGATCATGTCCAGGCTCTCCAGTAGATAGGAAACCTGGAGCTTTGCCACGAACACGCGAGGAGTTTCCGAGAATCAGGGCTACCTTACTCTGGGGTCCTTATAATAAGGATCCTACTGCTCATAAGGGTACTATATATTCGGAAACTCCCACAGGAGGAGATGTGACTGATTTCCCTTTCCGCTTCAAAGCTCCCCTGAAGACACCCCTAATATAGGGGCCTTAATAGTCAGAATAGGGTTTCGGGCCCCAGTCTGCTATAACTATAGTAAGGAACACCCAAAATATTATAGGTAACTATTAAGGCCTCTATAGTATACGCAAGCCATCGGCTGGCGTACTCTAGTAGCAGGGAACTTGGTTCCAAGAGGACAAAAGGCGTCCGTTTCATGCCCCGGCGAACGCCAACTTCCCCACCTGGTTCATGCGATGACTCGTAACACGAGTCCTCACCCATGAGACTAACATGATTCAACGGATGACGGACAGGACTCACAGCAAGATAAGCCGAAGAAAACAGGAACGACGAACACGCCTGGCCTATGCCCGCGAGCGATCAAGACCCCAAGCTCTGCACCTTTAAAGGCCTCATCGGAAGATCTGAAAAGATGTCGGTGGGCAGAGGTTCTAATGACAACAGTGCTACTCGTGAGAGCAGAGAGGAGAGGCAGCTGCTTCAGCATCTAGGACCGCAACGGCAATCTCCCGAATACTGAACAGCACCGGACCCCTGAATTGAGAGCTTCTTGAAACTTTGTATGGCTTCAGGTAGCCGTGGGCGAGCTTCTCTTCTCGCACTGCCGCAGGTCAACTTCTCCATCGCTGGGCGTCATGGTACCTGCGTGACTCGGTAGGACTACGGCATCGATTCCAGTCCGGGGCATGGGGGCTCGTAACTTCGTAAAACTCTTCTGCTGTTCCGATGCGTTGCCTGTACAAAGTGTGTTTCGAACCAAGCCCTGCCAAATGCCAGGCGATGCCAGCTGAAAGCACCGAAACACATACAGGCATTGTCTGCGCAGTTGGCGATCCGCAAAGTAACCGAGGCCCTCGCCGAAGGGGCAGCGCGTCATCGTGCTCTCCCCCTCTGCATATCGAGCCTGCATCTCCTGCGGCAGAGCATCATAGCAACCCGTACAGTAAGCTGTGTAGTATAGTCGTCCTTACCATATCCAGAAGCCCCTTTTAGTAACATCAGGAGTATTCGCGGCAAGTCATCTCCTATGTGCCAGCTGAGACAACGACTGGATGCCAGGGCGCATTGGCTCCTCCTTCAGGGACTCTTGGACGTAGTAGAGATAGTTGCCAGCCATGAGGTCGAAATCGTCAATCTGCCGATGACGGGTTTGTCCAGGGTAAGCCACAATGACTCAGCGCTCAGAACTCGGCAAAAAAAGGAAGAGTTGCGAGCGATGCACGACGAAATCCGAGGACCCATGGGTACGTACACGAATCGAACTCAAGAGACGAGGAAAGTCACACCTGCCGCGATACAACAGGCTTCCTTAAGAAGCTTCCTTGCCTCTCCGCCCTCTCTCCTCATATCAGTCGACAAGTCCAGGCACGTGGCATCCTGTCCAAGGGAAGCATGGATCGAGTGTGCTTGCGACACATGTTGGCGGCACATGTTCAGGTGCTCAGCTGCTCTTCCCGATCCTCCGAACTGTCCACGCACTCAACCGAGGGATAGTCGCCGCCGAAGCAGTCGAGCATGGCGGCGGCAGAGGCTGGCGGCAAAAGGTGGTAATATGTGGATGTAGCAGGAACGCCGGCGTGTTGGGCAGCTGGGAAGTAAACTAGTCGGCGCCGCTTGCTGTACACAAGCACTCCAGCTGCGTGACGTTGTTGCAGTTCCTCAGCGCCCATCAACGTTCCAGACTGTCATGCCTTGCCGAAGCTCCGAACCGACAGCACCGCAATCCCCGAACACAGGCTCTTTACTCAGGCTTTCGCACAGCATCTGGTGGGCACTGCCGCGACCTTCGCCAGCATCAGCTCTATAGTTGGATGGGCTCTATAGCTGATGAACAAATATATCAAAATATGGCACCCTAATATAGTACCCTAATATAGTACCCTATATTAGGGCACTATATAGGGTACGATTATAGTACCCTAAATAATAGTAGCAAAGATCCTGGGCTTTGTTCCTGAATGAAGAGAGATAAGGCTTAGGGCTGAGGGTAGATTGGTTCTGGTATCCCCCCGGCACTGACCTTATTCGGGGGTCCTTATAAGGATCCTACTATTTAGGGTACTATAATAGTACCCTATACAGTGCCCTAATTATAGGGATCCTACTATTATTTAGGGTACTATAATAGTACCCTATATAGTGCCCTAATATAGGGTACTATATTAGGGTACTATATTGGGGTACTATATTAGGGCTGAAGACGAGCTCTTTGTCTGAGCTGTCGACGGGAAAGTCTGATCCGACAGCAACAGGCTGTACTGGCTGCACCTCGGAATATAGGACACAATCAGCAATACATCGTATGTAGCATATGTGTTATGTAACACGTAACATGCAATATATAATAATGCATACTATATTATTATACAGAATACACATCCTCTGACAAGTGCTCCACCTGCTGGCAGAGTGAAGGCCCTAAGCACTAAACCTTAAGGTTTAGGGTTTAGGGATGAAGGTTCGGGGGCTTCTGCAGTGGAAACACGTAAATGCCAAGTCAGCTCCAGTCTGCAACTGCAACCATCCAGGCACGTCTGATAGTAAGGACCAGTCGATGATGCAAATTCCGACTGCAACCCAACTTCGCACGTCGGAAGGTCGGCTTCTACAACAATGAGATTCTCCTGTATGTGCCTGTCGACATAAGAGTTCAGCTTTCTGGTTGTGACCACCGAATCAGTATCCTGGTTCGGAGTAGTCTGGCCAGTTCTATGGTATCCCTCAGGTACTGAGCATTTGGCGTTACTCTCGCTAACAGCAGGCCCTGCACTGGTACTTTTCCAGAAGCTGGGCTTTCCGGCTTGTTCGTGTACTGCTCGGCGGACTTCAAGAGCTTTGTCAGGAGCGAGGACTTGAAGAATTCCTTGGCAAGCGAAGTCGCGTTTGATCTCGGTTTAGGCCTTCAGGCGGTGCTCTGCAGTTTCGGGGTTCCCTAGGCCGAACTCGAAACTGCCCGCCGCTCTCTGCTCGGCCCCGCACGACATCCTGGATGGCCGAGATCATAGCCAGGATACCTTCTCGCTCCTGCCCGACCTGCAGGCCACTGCAGGCATGAGAGCCGAATGGACGCGTTTGCCAGGTAAGCCTCGTTTCACAAATAAGAGGACAACAGTGCAAGGACTTGGTTGTGATGCAACCGGCGAGGCGAGGATGAGCGACTTTTAGCTGTAGAATGCGCAGTACTTAGCAGTGGGAGACGGTAGCAGCAAAAGTGAGAGGCATTTTTTGCCGTGATCAGTAAGTAGTGCTGCTACGACTCGCCATGATCGTAATCGCAACCAGAGCAAGAAGAATAGCATTAATGAACCCAGCACTTGCACGAGGACCCGCAACGAGAAACAACAATCGCACCACGGTAGTCATGACGCTTCCAATGATGATAGTTAGAATATTTCCTAATTGTCGGAGCCTTAATTAACAGTAACAATTGCATCTAGCAGAACTCCACACATTATGTGGTCGGAATGATACGACAGCAACGACAGAGCCAGTGATGGCAGTATGTAGCCGAAATTGACAAGATTATGACATAGCTGGATTAGATACCAGAACAGCGACTGTGGTCATTACCGGCGGAAGAGTCACAAGCATATGCATCTGCCATGAGATCAGAGCCGTTTCGCTCATCATCCGAAGCACATTCACAATCCTATGAGTGTCAGCAGACAAGCCGCAGCATTTAGAAAGGCAGCGACTGCGAATGAACATGCTAAAACCCGTGTCGCCATCCGAAATCGTGCACGATCGACGATATGGCAGGTCTTGAGGTCCCTGTTCCATCCTTGAAGGGGGAGCCGGATCTACAAACCTTTGCAGAAAAGCTCCACATCCGAAGAGCTCTGTCCACGTAAGGCTCCCAGCAGTCACGGCTTGCCTGCATTATAGAAAGCCTTTGAAGAGACCCTAAAAAGAACCGGAACTATGAAATCCCTTAAAGGGAGCCTAAAAGGAACCCGAATTCTGGGAACCCTTAAAAGAAGCCTGCAAGGAACGCTTGTAGGATCCTCAATTCGACCCAAATCGCCTGCAAGTCGTGGCCCTTAAACTTGCGCCACACCTGGAGTGGATCGGTCCAAGCTCTGCTCAGGGCTTCGGGTTTTGGGGTTTTACGGTGGCTGTAATGTTTAGGGTTTAGGGTTTAAGGGTTTAGGGTTTTGGGTTTAGGGTAATGCTAAGTCTAGCTGTAAGTCTGTCTCTGTTCATATCTGCGATGCTACATAATTCAATTGAATATTAATATGATTCCTGCGAGTACTAGTTTCGGAGTGCAGTGTCCGAGGTTTCGGGTTCAAGGCTCAGAATTTGCTGTTAGGCCACGGGGCCTTTTCGTGGGGGCTGACAGGTTAGATCTTGCAATTTCTGTCTCTGTGGGGTTTGCTCTGCCACCAGGCTCCTTCAGATAGGACGCTCCCTTTGACATCGAAGTGTGTTCTTCAGTGCTCAAGGCCTAGAGACAAAGCTGAGCTGGGGCCCAAAACCGCCATGATGGCATCCTCCTGGCAGTACCCGAGATCGTAGTCCTGTTACAAAAGGAAGCTCAGAGAGATCTCTGTCAAAGGCCTGGGGTCCAGGGTTCAGGTTTCAGGGTTGAAGTTTCGTGTGGGGTTGAGGGTTGCGGGGGACCCGTATAAGCTGCCAAAATCACAGTTGAAGGTCTGCGGTTTAGGGATTCCAGCATCAGGAGGGGGTTGTTGGACAAGCTGCTCCCCAGGTACAAACGGTGGGCTTAGGGCCAGTTTAGGGTACGCAGTGCCGAGTCGACGGAAGCTGCGCTCACACCCAATGCTGAATTCTGAGACCCAAAACCCGAAGACCTAACATCTAAAGCTGTAAGGGTGTATCATAGCAAAACTGTGAGAAGGAGCCCTAAGAAACGGAAGTGGCCTCTTCATTGGACGCCAAGCCCGACAGAGTCAGGTTTTATATGTCCATATCAGAAGTGGCTGAATCCCCGAGCACCCGGTTTCGTGCTCGAGGTTTCGACTTCCGGGTGTAGAATTTGGAGTCAACCTACTTTTCTGTAGGCTCTTACTATACACCCTCATGGGGAATTTATAGGGACCCTACTGAACATGGTTGTGGTAGGGTTTGAGGTCACGGCCTCCATCCAGCTACTCTGGATCTCGGTCTGCTCCTTCTTGTCGATGAGAGGAAGGTTGGCCTGAGACAGAGGTGCTGCCTTTGTTTGAGTTCCCGGTCCAGGTCATCATCATGCTCAACCATCAATCATCATCATCAACAACAAGAACTACTACACTGCGTATCATCACCATCACCCATCATTAAGTCACCATCGTCACCTTCATCATTCCGAGCATACTTCTCTCACCGGCATGGAGTCTGCTCTATACTATAGGGGCCTAATAACTACCTATACCAATTTCTGGGTTCCTTATCATAAATGTGGTGTAATAATGGGCCCCAAATCCCAATTCCAACTATTTTGGCCGCTGTATCATGGTACCCTTATAGCGTCCCTTATCGTAATTAACCCTTATAGAACCCTTGAAAGAGCCGTTGAAAAGGAACCCTGTTCTAACTACGGTTGATGATATAAATCCTGCATTACCTTAGTGACCCCAGACCTAGGGGAATTATGGTATCTTTGCTGATGATGGGTAATGCAGGATTTATATCATCAACCGTAGTTAGAACAGGGTTCCTTTTCAAGGGCTCTTTAAAGGGTTCTATAAGGCTTAATTACGATAAGGGATGCTATAAGGGTACCACAGACCCCTATAGTACTCTCAAAGCGGGCCCCCACCCGGGCGAGTCGGAGCTGCTCCAGCGCGACGAACTCGAAGTTGTTTCGCATGATCTGCCGCAAGCAGTACTGCGCCACCTCGAGGGAGATTGGGCGGGCTTCGAGAGTTTGGGCTTCATTATTCGTTCATTAATTCTATATAATTACTAGACCCTAAACCCATCAGGGCTATCAGGCTTCGTAGGGTTTGGGGCTGAGGGCCCTAGATTTTCAGCATTTGGGATCCTTGGGTTGAGGGTTTGGAACCCTGACAAAGCTCACTCATCGGCGCAAACTTTGGAGCTACGCTGTGCCATAGATATCATTTCCGAGGGTAAAAGGAGGGACCCTTAATAAGGACCCTTAGGTCTACACCCTTAACATAGCAATATTATATGCCCATTATGTAGCCCACTATAGGGTAGGGGTCCCCATTAAGGGTCCCTCCTCTTCCCGTTTGATCATCGATTGGGGCCGTAACGGGGATGCTACTACTAGTACATGACTCCGGCCCCTATGTCCCTGCAAGCCTTCTGTGTCAAGTAGAACTCCTGCTTCTCCACGCAGACACTTCCCTGAAGAAGAGGTCGCCTGGCATGCAGCGACATGAACAAGAACCACTAAATAGCTACTAGCATGATGATGAGCATAAGACTAAATCACCATTATGGTCTTCATGCTAAATATGCTCGTGAACATGCTCATCATCTTTGGTCATCATCATAGCCGGCGTAGACACTAAGAATGGTAAATCCCCAACCCATTTCCGCAACACTAGCCGGGCACACTTCAGGTCCGCTCGGGCACCGGTTCCTTCCGGGCAATAGAAGCCTCAAGTAGGAGCGGGGTTCAGGGGTTTGGGAAAGTTTAGGGTACAGGATCAGGATTTCGGCTTCAAGCTCAGGAGGGTGGAAACTGCGGAGATGCCCGGCAGACCATCGTAGATGCTGGGGAGGCGACCCAGCGGACACCGGAACTTGTATCGATTGATGTAGGTTGTCGCCTGGATATCCAAAACAATCATGGTGCAGCCGGAGCATGGACGGAGGGAAACTCGAACTCAAGCCCGATGCGAGATCGTTAGCATATCCCTTCGTCTGTCAAGAACCCTAGACCGTCTGGCAGATTCTATACAGCCAACCACCTCTGACGATGATGCCTCAGCGCAGTAGAAGCCGGCAGGGCAAAGATCGCGGTACACACTGTCAGGCCTCACGTGCATCGTTGGAGTATGCAGGCTGCCAACTTGCGCTGCTGGCTCGACGCAGCATGAGATGTCAACTAGGAGCCAGCCCTGCCAAGGCATGTCCCACGAATTCTCTTTCCGCGGCGATGGCACGTTGTTACGAGTAGCACAGCTTCGCACAAAACGCGAATTGCTACGCCTACGTAACAACCGCAGCATGGCCACAAATCCCTCTGGGCGCAAGCAGCCATATGCCACGACATGCGAATCATTTCGGTGCCGGACGTGTTGTGGAGAGCTAGCTAGGGATTTGGTTTTCAAAAGCAAGGCCTACCATAAATCCTGAATCCACAGCATAACGGACCACAGCGATATCTGTATCCGATCCGTATAATAATATAGGGGCCTTAACCATTAGAATAGGGTTTGGCGGTATATTATACTATAAGGAACCCCCAAGATAGTAGAGGTAATTAATCATTTAGGCTCCTACAGTACGCGTGAAGCCCTTGCACTTTCCATATCCTAAACCCTAAGCCGTAAGCGGTGGCTCTGTTTGGATCCTTGGCTCAACCACACCGTTTCGCAGTTAGCGAGCGGGTGTGCAGTACAGTGGGACCGGATCCTGCTTGCAGCGCGCATCGTGGCGATCGGTTTCGCCATCCTCGGGCTGTATAGGGTGATTATGCAAAGGAAGCGAAAACAGGTGTATATAGGTTTATACCAATTCAACGAGGCGTGTCTGTGTGGGTACACTGTATAAGTCTGCAGAGTTGTGCTTTCATTGCAAAAGCTGGGCAGGACAAGGTATGGGTAGCCAGCCCCACACCATGGCCTCTGCTTTGGCACACTTTCGGCAGCAGGTGTCCAGTGGCCGTCCCTTAGCGGTCTTGCCTGGCAGAGCTTGAGTTGAGGATAATATACACATATAGTTGCACATACGAATATTATATATGTATGTATAAGCAAACAGGTATGATACGATCTAGTGATTAGTACATATGCATGTATATATATATATATATATATATATATGAGGGCCCAAATCGCCTGCGCAGGGCAGGAATATTGTAGGCCCCAGCACCCGCCATGGGTGCGTCTGCCGGCTACGGGCAAGCAATGCATAGCGGCAAGTGTGCCATGCACAAGCTGGGCATTCAGGTTTTGCATTCACCCGACATGATGGCGATCATGGACGCAAAGGACACACTGTGTAAGGTGACTTTGTTGAGCATTCGTTCGGAGGACATGCTCGCAGACCACACAGCAGATGAGTTTGCAACTGGCTTCAAGAAGAGGCCGGCTTTTCAGCTGCGCGGCATCAAGCAGAACAGAGGCTCGTCATGCGAGGGGGAATGGATCACCAAGCGGCAACCTAGCAGCTCATGCCCTTCACCTGTTGCGATGGTGTTTACGGGTTCGAAGGACATGCTGTGCAGAGTGGCCATATTGAACATGGGCTGGGAGGACTCGCTCGCACCACTCACCATAAAGGAGTCTGCGACTGGCTTCAAGAAGTCGCTGGCTTTCAGGCCGCACGGCATCAAGCAGAGCAGAGGCTCGTCAGGCGAGGGCGTTTGCACCACCAAGCGGCAACCTGGCAGCTCATGCACTTCACCCGATGTGATGGTGTTTATGGGCTCGAAGGACATGCTGCGCAAGGTGGCCATGTTGAACATATGTGTGGAGATGGCTTGGAGGACAATGCTCGCACACTTCACCGTGATGGCTGCCATCAAGAAGACGCCGGCTTTTCAGCTGAGAGGCATCAAGCAGAGCAGAGGCTCGTCAGGAATTTGCGGCTGGCTGCATGAAGACGTCGGCTTTCCAGCAGTGCGCCATCAAGCAGAACAGAGGCTCGTCAGGCCTTCGATCTAATGACGCTGACTCCGCTATCCTGGCTTAGCAGTTCCTGATCATGTAAGTGAGTGATGCTGGAGCGCTTTAGATTTGCGTGTGGAGGTCCTATGGCCTTCATGCTATGGTTGAGTTTGATGTCCCGATATCACCTCGATGAAGGTGTTAGACATCCTGGGTATTGTAACCGTGTAGGAATGGCCTCAGCTGATACCCATGAGGAAGATCCTGCACGTCTTGGGTCCGATATGTGGATCGTGCGTTGTCTGATGCTTTGATCGCCGTTTACGGAATACAAAGCATCCTTTGTTTGCCGTGCATTCTCAGGCATTCTTCCATGCGCCATCTTTGATTTTGTTGTGGGGTTGGGACAGCTTTTCCGTTTGCTGGCTACATCCCACCCCTGTCCGGTGAGCGCATACTATGTCAATAGATTTCTGCGCCACCCCACTTTCAATTAAATGCAGTTTGAATTCACCTTGCTAGGCGAGCGTCGTTTACCGACTCAACCGCAGAGAATGAAAAAATATATATATATATGTATATATATATATATATATGTATATATATATAAATATACAAAAGGCGTTTGTCCGCGCAATCTTCGTCTCCCCTCGCCTGGAGCTGCAAGCATGCCGCATCCCATCTTGCAGGGAGGGCGCTCACCATCCTCGTCGGCAGGAGGCTACGACTGCATTTGGCAGATTCTGAAAATGGGGGGGACCTTAATATCGTTCCCTACATAGTAGGATCCTTCTTATAGGGGCCCCAAATAACGTACCCCTAATTTTCGGAAACTCCCATTTCCGAGTTGTGGGGCTGATAGAGCCGTAAGAACAGGTTCCTCAGTATATAGCTCCCTTACTACTAAGGGTACCGTTGTTTGTAATTTTCAGTTTTAATATGGTTGAATAAGGAGATCCCAACCTAAAAAGGGCAAAAGGGCGCTACCCAGGAACCTAGAAGAGGAATCAATTCGAGCAGGCGGCTACTGCGAACGCAAGCCAAGGTACACTGGGGAAAACGGATGCGGCTAGCAATGGGCGTAGATGCACAACACCCGCAGCCTGTGCATATTAATTAAGAGTTCAACACTTAAACGTTCTGCTCTCTGCCTGCCAATCTGCATCTACCAAGCACCCAAACCTCGAGTCACTGAACCTCAAACCCTAGATGCCAACGGCATCGAAACCTCGAACATGCTAGTCGAAATGGGTTCAAAAAAGGGGCCTTAAGAATTACCAATACTATGTTGGGGGGGTTCCGTCTTATAATTCGCCTCCAAGACCAGAACCTTGAAGCCGAAACTCGCAGCAAAACTCGCCTAGCCATAGTAATGGACATAGGTCATAGCCTATAGCATGATAAAGACAACAATAATATCAATAACCTTTGCAATGACGCCAATGACGACGATGGCAAGAAAACGAATGATACTCGTACCTGAACATGTGAATACTATAGGGGCCTTAATTATTCGAATAGGGTTTTGGGACCCATATACTATACTTATATTCTGGAGCCCCCAAGTAGTATAGGTAATTATTGAGGCCCCTATATTATAATAACAAGATCCCTCAGCAGCCTTGAGGCCACACCGAAGATCATGTCCGAAGCCCAAAGCGCATCCTGTGTTTGGGGAGACATTAGGGGAGTTTGGGTTGGGCGAGGTTTTGCATTAAGAGCTCTGGGTTAGAGGGCTATAGAACTCACAGGCGGGGTTGAAGGATTGCTCACAGCGGCTTTGTGGGCGCGCTGTCTTGCGCCATTTGTGGCGGCTCTGAAGCAGGAGCAGACATGGGGCACTGTTGAAAGTTGAGACAGTCGGGCAGCCGCAAGACCTGAAAACCTTAACTCAAGGCAAGGTAGCTGAACACTGATCCTTCGCAAGGTAGGGGCGTTGTTAGTTCTCGTGTAAATATCATAGGAGCACATCACATGTCGCTTCAAAGCGGGCCGCTTCAGCATTGCAGGAAAAGTACAAGAAAACCATGGAACATGTCAGAAACATAGGCAAAGCTTGTAAAGGCTAAAAAAGCTATAAAAAGCTATAAATAGCTAAAAAAGACAAATCATTTCCTGCAATGACGTCTCGATTGGACCTGTGGCTTTGGGTTCAGGAGTTCAGGGTTTGGAGATAGTGGCGAGGGTTTTGGGATGAAGATAAAGGGTTCAGGGTGGCGGATTTCGGATGTATGATTGAAGGTTCTGTTTGGTGCTTTAGGGTTGACAGTTAGTTGAGCGGTGGATTTTTCCTGGAATTATGTGGCATGCAGTGCGTTTTCCAATCCACTAGAAAAAGCTAGATAAAGCTAGATTTTTCCTGATTTTGGGCCGGGGGCCCGGCTAAGGAATTCCATTGAAAAGCTAGGCAAGGCTAGAAAAGGCTACAAAAAGCTTGGCATGCTTGAGCCACCTGAGGACCCAGTTTATCACATGTTCAGCGAAGGATCTTACCAGGATTTATTTAGCTCCTTTAATGGTGCCCCGGCTGCGAAGAAGCCTACTTAGAAGAAGCATTAGATGCGCCCCTAAGAAAATAACTGACCTCCATCATCTGAGACGCTAACTCCTGCAACAGTGACATCCTGTGCTCCAACCTCTAAGCCCTCAACCCTCAATGTAGGGGCCTTAATAACTAGAGTCGGGTTTTGGGGTCCATTATATTATAAATATAATAAGGAACCCCCACCATAATATTGGTAATTATTTAGGCCCCTATATTAATGCTTTGCCCCCAGAAGACTCTGGCACCTCGGCAGCAGGTCTTGTAGGGGTTGCCGTGCTTCGTCAGCCCGGGTGCTACTGGCTTGCCGCAGCCCCTGACGCAAAGGCCTCGATCCGTGTGGCCGATGCAGATTCGCAGTTCGTTGCTTGTTCTGTTGCGGTTTAACGCCATGGCTGCAGTGCTTTGAACTACTTCTAGACTTCAGCTGTTTACGGCTCAGGGGTGGTTGCTATTGCTCTTGCTGTGGTCGCAGTGCCGGAGGTGATGCCCCTCAGATGTTTCGTTGCTACTGCTCTTCTGCCTTAACCAAAACCCAACACGACACCACCACAAGAACCCAAAACACCACCCCAACCTTCGAAAATCAACCCCAAACCCTGAACCCCTAGATCCTAGAACCCGAAGCCCTCAGCCGGCCTTAAACTCCTAATCTAGGGGCCTTAATAATTAGATTGGGGCTTTGCAGCTTTTTGTAGTTAACTCATTATACTGACGAACAGTCTATTGGGCGTTTATGTTGAATCCTAAACCCCGAAACTCCAAAGCCCTAAAACCTGGACCGACACCGCTTGAAACCCTAAACCCTTAACCCCAAAGCCCCAAATCCTAAGAGCCCTATAAACCCCTAAAACGCTAATACACCCCAAAGCCCCAAAAACTCTAAACCGCAACGCTTCACCAGCTCCCCGCAGCCTGCAGGGACTTTGACGCCTTCGGAAGGGCCTTCGGCCATCGCCTGTCGCAAAGGTCTTGGATGCCTTGAGGTCGGGTTCCATACCGTAGTATACTATGTGTGTATATGTGTATATGTATATAGTAGACAACATGTGTGTGTGTGTACATACATACATATATATATATATAAATATATATATATATATATATATATATACAGGTATGTATGAATATTTGTATATATATATATATATATATACACACATATATATACACATATGGATGTATACCTACATAAACATACACACATGTATGTGTATGCGTATATAAATCTATATAAAGATATAATCTGGCGTACCATGCTATGCTGGCTTATACAGTATTCGCTTACCTCATAGTCTGTGCTTTAACATGTTACACCGTACTAAGTTATACTATGTCACAGTCTATCATTGTCATAAGTGTATATTAAATACTGGCTAGAATCGCAATTCGTATCATTATTGTGATGGTTTGGGGGCGGCGAGCTGAAGTGTTCAGACTAAGGACTGGGATGTCATGCGCAAATGCCTAACATCTCGAGTAATCTACATGTCCATCTGCATTGCTACTTATGATCAAGCAAGCCGTGTACCTACCTGTACCTACCTACCTACTGACCGACCTACCTGCCTGCCTACCTACCTCCGGATCCCGAGGCACTTTGATCAACCAGACATGAGACTTGAGTGCATCAGAAGAGTTCCGTGCAGCTAGCTCACTTGGGTGCCTTCAACTTCGCCTTCCAGGCGGCGATCTTGTCGTCTGAAGCTTCTTCCGCCTGTGCAGGCCATCGCTGTGCTCTGTGCGCTTCAGCTAGGGCAGCAGTTTAGGGGTTTAAAGTATTTTTTTTTTAAGTGCAATGGCTTCTTTCTGTGCTCGCGAACGATGCTGCAGGATAAAGCCTGCCTCCGGAAGGGGCCTACACTGAAAGCCATCCACAAGATAGCTTCTCGCACTTCCATGTCAAACTGCATGAGATGTACAGAATTGCAGTATTGGAACACAGAGGCCGAAAATGAAATTTGTTCATGAAAGACTGAACCTGTCTCACGAAGCTTGCACTGTACTGCAAGTCACTTCAGACGGTACAGTATTTAGGGTTTCGGGTTAAGGGGCACCTTGCGGCATCAGCTTGGCGCAGCTGCACAAACGATTCTGACGAAATCCTGCGCAAAACACCTCCAGCTTCTCTCTTCGCGCTTTTTCGTCCACGTCCCAACACCACCTCGGGCGAGCAAACATCGTGGGATCTATGATATATATGACCCACTTCCCAAATCCCGACACGCAGCACCGGGAAATGTAACCCTGAAGAAACAAGCACAGAAGAGCCCAAGGTTTAGAGCTCAGGGTGTGCATAGGACTGGGGACGCCGCTTTTGCGCAGACCCACCTCTACAAAAGCCCGTCCACCTCATGGTACACCCCAAACGCACACCTCAGACCGCAAGCTCTAAAATCGCACATAAAGTAACATTCGGATCATTGTTGTTACCACTATTAATAAGTTTGCTGTTATTACTACTTCTATTATTATTGTTACTGTCATGATTATGTTTTATCCTTGTGTCATTATGATCATTAGTCTTACATCCCCAACGCCCGCAATCCCACACTCTCTTCCCGGCCGGCAGTTCTTGAGGCGCCCGCTCCCAGCCGTTTTTATCACAGGCCGCCTCTGTGTGCCGCCGGCAACATACTCTACATGTACATACATACATACGTACTAACTTACTTACATACATAAATACATGCGTCCATCCGTGAATGCATGCACGCATGCGGTTTGTGTCTGCGATTCCGTGTGTGCTCTTGCTTGTTAACGTTTGTCTGTTTTGTGTGTTCGAGTCTTCTGCTTCTTGGTCAGTCATTTTCAGTTGGTGCATTCAAGCTGAAGGTTTGGTGCATGGGGTTCATGCTTTCGGGCGTTGAGGACGCTTGGATTTGGCTTCTGAGACTGAGGGCTGCAGGTTAAGGCTTCATGGTTGTTTCTTGCTGGCACCGCGTCCGCTAAGCCGGACATGATTTCGACGAATTACACAAGTGATAAGAGGGTTCCGCGTAAAGCCACGGTTCCCAAGAACAAAAAAGTCAGCTGAAAAAGACATTGGCGCATTTACCTAAACCGATGCATGCCAGGATTTTCATGCATAGGCAGGCACAAACAATGACTTATTTACATAAAAGTTGTCCTAGGTATTCCCAGAGTCTTCTGCCACGAGGCAGCTCCTATAAGGGTTCCTTTAAGGGATCTATCGGGTTCCTTTATAGGGTACTAGAAGGGTTCCTCTAAGGGATCTATGGGGTATTAATGGCTAAACGCATGGTCACGTCCAGGGAGATCTGCCTTGATGTGGGCTACCATCTCGGCGTTGTCGTACTTTTCGCCCTGGCCATGCTGGCATGGAGTCTAACATAGAGACCTGAAGGTGATGAGAATAGGACTTGTGATCTATATATATATATATATGTGTGTATATGTATATATATATATATATACACATATAATTGGAGAAATCAAGGATTTAACAAAAAGAGCCAGGAAAAGAAACCTGGAAGTTAAATCTGCCGCTACATCGACAATTCTTCATACCTCATGAGAACAGCTGCCTTCTCTTGAGCACGCAGTCGTAGTGGAGAAAGTGAACTATGCTTTCATACTTTTCTTTTCACATAGTACGGCGAGCACCGAATGTACTATACATGCAGATACACAGCAATCTATGTACTGGAGCTCTACCGCCTAAGCCCGAAGGCACAATCCACTCAACGATGCTCAGCGACTTAGCCGATGCCCGGGTTCTACCTTGTCTGCGGTTTAAACTGCCAAGGTCAAGGGCTTGAAGAGTGTCTTTAGGATATTTCAATCTTAGGGCATGACACGTTAAGAGATATAGCCGCTTTAGTGCTTTCGGGATCTTTCGGTGTTCAGGGTTCTCTGCCTTGGGGAGCACCAAACGTTCGACGTGGCGCGCCCAGGCGATCTCTCCGTGGTACTGAGCCTGTGGGGTTTAGGGTTCAGGGGCCAGGTGGTGACAGAAAGTACGGTGTAAGTACCAACAACACCAAGTAATTAATCAGCATGTTCTCATCAGATGCACAGCTTTACCTGCACGGCCATGGTCCAGACATGTGCAAATACAATTCCGTGTGCAAGTAAAAACGAAAGAAGTGTGTGAATGTATGTACGGTAGGTATGTAGGTCTGTGATTCACATCATAAATATCAATCGCGCTGCAGCACCGGTATCAGCCCCGATCAGACGGATCACCGAAATGATGTTGGCCTTCTTCATAATAATGGAGAGAACCGCGGCAAACACGATGAAAAGCTAGAGTTCGTACCAATGGGAAGAACCGCGACCAGAATGATGGCAAGACTCAGTCCGGCATCAGGGATGCAAGGAAAAAGCCCAACTTCTCTACAGGCAACCTTGTATGATCTGACTTCGGATTGCAGATTTACTGCGGCTTCGTCCTTTTGGGGAAAATTTGGGAGGCACCTCTTTGTACTTGAGGCCCTTGGCCACAATGGATTCCGAACTGCCCAGCTTGCCCGTCGTGGCCACCTGCATGCTTGGAGGTTCATGGGTAGGTATCAGCGGAGTTATAAGCGCGGGAACTATACTTATCACCCTTACTTGGGGACTTCTAACTCCAGTTATAACTACCCATGGGCCTCCAAGTGCTGTCTGCAGTCTCACAAGGCACTCAGGAGCAACATAACTTCACGGTTGGAGATCTGTATAATTGTGTTATGGGCATCCCGGCCATGAATCCGAAACCCGGATGGTATATTGAACCACTATTCACTCTTCATTCTGCAGCGATGATGGTTCGCACAACCTGGTTGTAGGGGCTCCTAGCATGAAACGCGCATTCGCACTACACGGGCTCGTCTGGCGCGAAAGCCTTGAGGGTCTCTCCCAGCTCGCCGTCTGTGTACTCATTAAGGACCTTCCGCACTGTGTGCTGAAAGAGCCAGGAGTGTTGTGGTCATCGGAAGGAACACGTTGTGGCATCTAAACGTATGTAAATCTTGCAAAACTAGTCCGACATAGTCACTGCAATGTAGAGTGCGGCCATAGTAAGACAAACACAGCAGTTAAAGTGCTAGTTTCCCCGACGATCCTTGAGATTCTTTGTTCGTGCTGCTACGATTTTGTTGCTTCTCCCGCGACTCTCCAACGTCAAACCCTTGCGGCTGCCGTCAGTACTCAAGCGAGTACTACTATGATCGAGTACTACTGTCCATACAGCCACAGCAACAACAACAGCAGCAACAACACCACCACCACCACCACCACCACCACCACCACCACCACCACCACCACCACCACCACCACCACCACCACCACCACCACCACCACCACCAGCAACACCACCAGCAACAGCAACAGCAACAGCAACAGCAACAGCAACAACAACAACAAGAACAATAACAAGGACAATAACCATGACAATGACAAGAGTAATAACAATAAGAAGAACACTAACAAGAGCAACAATGATAGCAAAGCACTGACGCTTGCAACTAGCACCACTGACACTAGCACTAAGACTAAGACTAACAACAAGCACAACAACAACAACAACAACAACAACAACAACAACAACAACAACAACAACAACAACAACAACAACAACAACAACAACAACAACAACAACAACAACAACAACAAAAACAACAACAACAAGGAAGGCGGTGCGTCTGCCGCCGCGCGGGGTGTGTCGTTTATGTTTGGGAGGATTTTTTGTCAAAAAGTAGAAAACCCAGAGTTTTGCGTGGCTCTCGTCAACAAGACGATGCATCGGAGTTTAAATTCTCTGTATTTCTTTGTCTTGTGTTTTTGGTGAGGTTGTTGCGGAAGTGTCGCAATACCATGCTTTTCGTTTTTGATTTATGTTGATTTTCAGGCTCATTTGGGAAGCTTTTGTCTGGAAAGCTTGAACAACTCGAGGTTTTTGCATGGTGGACGTTTCCAAAGTGAAGCAACAAGAAACGGCAAGCACGGGTTGACAGAGCAACTGCTAGCGTTTGAGATGAGAAGTAACGCAACCAAAGAAAGAGAAGACACAAGCCGCATTCGCATGGACGGCATCACCCCTCCCCGCATTCCCCCCCCACTCCCGCACAGAGCTGAACGACAAATTGCAAGTTTAAGCTGGCATGAGAATCGGCAAAAACACCGCAAAAAACAATGCGAAATGCGACACATAGGAAACAACAAGAGAAACAGAAGACACAAGTCGCGTTCGCATGGACGTCATCACGACCCCCCCCCATCCCCCCCCACGCCCTGCACATAGCCGAAAGACAAATGCAAGTCGAAGCCGGCATCTGCAGACGATAGTCGGCAAAAACCCTGCAAAAACCGATGCGAAATGTGAAAAAAAAACGAGGTGAAATGCAGAGCTGAACATGCTTTTGCACAGTGCAGCCCGCCGGCGAAGTCACTTTTTTGCTAGAAAACACCGCAAAAAACCGATGCGAAAGCGAAAGCAAAGTTCAACGTCCGGTGACGAAAGTGCCAAAACTCGAGTTTCAGCGCATGCCAGCAGAGGAATTGCACCACCCCGCGCGGCGGCAGATGCACCGCCTACCGACAACAACAACAACAACAACTCCGGCAACAGCAGCAGCAGCAGCAGCAGCAGCAGGATCAGGAAGAAGAGGAACAACAACAATAACAATGACAACAACAACAACAATAATAGTCAGAAGAAGAACGGCAACAGCAAGAGTAACTACAATCACAACCACAAGAACCACGACCACAACGGCAACAAGAACAACGAAAACAACAACGAGAAGAACAGCAACAACACCAGCAGCAAGAGTAACAACTGCTACCACTACCGTCTCTACTACCAAAGCCACCACGACTACCACTACTACCACGACAACCACTACTACAGCGACTACAGCTACCACCACTACTACCACTATGACGACGCCGACGACTACTGCTGATGCTAGTACGACGACTACAACTACGGCTACGACTACGATTACTTCGACTTCGACGGCGCGTTGATACGTCTACAGCATTATGACTGTTGTCGTGACGGTGAATGGAAGCGCCTTCTTGACACTTCTTACATTTGCGGGTGCTATCACAAACCTGTCTGTTCATGTGAAGGATGTGATAATCACAGTGAATTGTTACTATTATTCCTATTATTACTAATATTACTATTATTATTTTGTTATTATTACCCAGCTCAGGCCACGACATGAGCGTAGTAGTCCAAACAGGCCAATCGCTCGGCCTTCAGGTTGGCGGAGTCCTTGCGAATTGGAATGGAAGCTGACGGATTCAAAGGGCTTCGCTGCAATTATATAGGGACTATATAGGGGTTATATGGGGACTATACTACCCCAAAAAGGTTCAAGGTTCAACATTGTGCTTGTTTGGTCGCAACTCACGATAGCTTCCCAGCTTGCTGCCGAAAGTCCTCAGGAGAGAAAGTTGTGCGAAGGCGCACGTCCTTCAAGACAATGTAGCAGTCTCCTAGGATGCTGGAACAAGCAAAGGCCGCTGCAACTCGTTCGCCACACACATAGGCAAAGAAACACAATCCTTCGTTTAGGTTTTCAACTGCAGCTCTGCGGCCGTACTGCTTGGCTCGGACGACTCCACGATAATCCTGGGCTGCTCTTGAAAACCATTCAAGACACTTGTGCCCCCTATTACGAAAATCCTGTACAGAACATAAAGAAAAAGATTGCAGGAACGGGCTGGAGTCGTTGTGCACGTTGAGGACTCCATACTTGGGCCGCTCGAAGTCGCGGCAGCCGGTGTAAGCGCCTCTACTGGTGGCTTCGGAAGATCTCCAAGACTAAGCTTTGAATATGGAACCTCATGTAGTCCCCTGCTATGCCTAAAGTCCCTAAACCCTAATAAAATTAGCCGCAATCCCGACAACTATAATGATACATCCCAAAACCCAAACCTGCCGAAACCACATCCTGTAGCCTGGTTACTTTCTTGGATAGTGCACATCAAAAAAACACTTAGGGATAATTTCCCGGCACCTATTCCGTGAACCAAGGCCCTAGTGCCGGGGCCTTAGCAATTGAAGAGTATAACTGAAGGATCATAAGTACAGAAAAATTACTCACCGAAAGTCCTCTATATCCCGTATCATACACCCCTGCAAAAAACCTGAGCGCAAAACCCCGCCTTTTTGGAAACACTTATATACAGGAACCCTTTCCAGGCACCCATATAGAAAAGAAAGGCCCCATACCTACTATAGCAGGGCTAAATAATTACGAATACTATTTTGGGGGTTCATTACTATAAGTATGAAATAATGTACACCAAAAGCCTAGTCTAATTACTAACCCCTCCCACCCCCCACCGCCCTTGCCTTGAAAAAGGTCGCGCTCCCACCGGTCACGGACCTCCCGGTTGTTGAGACCACAGGATTTCCCCGTTTCGAACCTCAGCTGAAAAAGGTGCAAAGGGCCCTGTTATAGGGCCCTAATAATCATTAGAGTAGGGTTTTGGGGGCCCATTATACTTTAACTATAGTAAGGAACCTCGAAAATAGGGTCCGTTTTCAGGGTTAGGGGGTTTTGGGTTTGAGGTTTTTTAGGGTTTTAGGGTTGGAGATCCAGGCTTTCAGAGATCGCCTCCGAGGCCCCTGAGGTTCGCTTTTCTAGCAAGGAGGTCCTAAGCAGAGTTATACCCTTAGTTAGGCTTTAAGGACTCATATTTAAGGCTTTTGGGCCCAAAGACCATACTGTATAAGGCTTTTGGGCTATTTTGAGCCTTCGGGATAGGTACTGACTCATGTAAAACTGTGTTCTACCATATAAGGGGGCGGCTTCACAAAACATGAGTCCAACTGATTGCGGTCGAGTTCTGTGAAGCAAAATCCTGCCAAGTGTCTGGGACCGATAGTGGGTGTCCTGCAGATTCACGTGAAGCTACATGAACATCGGATGGCCCGTTGCACGAATGTGCCATTCCAGTGCTGACGTGAAATGATATCAACAACACAATTCTGAATACAAAACATGACTTCGGGACGGCCACCTAGCATTTGATCCACAAACTCTTTCCTTAATTACCCCTGGGCCGCTGATTGAATAATAAGAATACCTGCGTCCGGAGCTGCAACAGCTCTTCTAACCGGCCTAAAGGAACCTCGACATCCTGCCACCGCTGCTTTTGTGGTGCACCATAGGAGTCTATGGTAAATAAGATGGCTTCCCTTACTATGGTAGCCTAAGCTCAACTCCTTAACAAGAGCACAGTTTTCTGATCGGTGGAGAGAAAGAACTTGGTGGATGAACCTCCAGTGACTGCAGTGTTCACTCGCCCTGCCTTGCTTCTGCAGGCTGGTATGCGGCGGAGAGACAACTGACTGCAGACTTATTGAAAAGTGTCGTTCGTATCTACCCTCTGGCACCACAGGAAAGCCCGAAGAGGCAACGGAGCAGAACCATCGAGCCTGGGCAATAAAACATGGCTTTCCAAAGCCATGCAATCATGATGCTCCCAGAAGCAGACAATCTTCGAAATTCTGCTTGTAGAACGTAGTCGGGACAACGCAAACCGAGGTGGTTTAGTAGAGTGTAATATAAACGGTTTGGCCTGGCATGCTATGGTCTCGGGTCCTCTACAATGAACTGCCACATCCTGTCGAAGTGGATGTGGACGATCAGCGGCCTGGTGCGCCCAGACATGCAGCCGTGATTCTTCTAGGCACCATAGGAGCCTCCCAACATTTTTTTGGAGAGGTTTGTATCAATGGAACCATTACATGATCTATCACTCGCCTCCAGAACAAACAACAAGCACTACGGAAAAACATCATGCCGCACGTCTACGACAAGGCGGTATTGCGCAGCATACAAGGCATTATGAAAGCTTCTTCTCGCCAAAGCACGCAAAGTCGCGAACCCACGACAAAGTCGTCCACAAGTCCATGTCCTCAGGCCATGCCCCAATGTCCGGGACAAGCCCCACAGCTTTCAACGACAGGCTTGATATGTGAGCAGTACCAGTCATCAATTTGCTGGTACTCTTCGTCTAAATGCTAAACCACAGCCGCTACTACTGCCAGCTGCAAATACTCGCAAAGTTGTAAGCAATGAACTCGAAATGATATCTGTGAGCATGTTCTTCAGCCAAGCACATGCATGCCAAGCGTCCTTGTAGCCCAATTTGCTCACACGTCTTTGCAGAACTGGCAGAGCCTGCTGATGATTCACCTGCGCCAGGGTAGCCGAGCTTTTGGGCTTTGAAGGATTTTGCAACCTTTATCCATTTTGTAGTTTCACCGGAGTGATACAAGGCTTGATAGGGCTTCGATGGGAGATCATAACAGTAGTGGATGGTTACGGGCAATCTGCTGGTTCCAATGCCCCGTGGAAAAGTCTCGCTCTTGCAATCTCTGTTCGCATGATGTAAGCCTCAATGTGTGAAAGTGGTGAAAGGCTGATAGGTTGGCGTTAATTTGTTTACTATAGGGGCCTTAATAATTAGAATTAGAATAGGGTTCTGGGGCCCATGATGTAATTGTAACAAGGAGCGCCCAAAATTATATTGGCAATTGTTTCATGAGGGAACCTCCCGCCTTGGCAATCTGCCGGATGTTCGACACGGCTCGCTTTTGACAGTCTGGGCAGCGCAGGGATGGGGTGGGGCTCTAGGTACAAAATATATCAATTTCTTACGGTTCAACAGTAGAAGTAGAATCATAAGGGTAAGAGTATATATCTGCGACAGAACGAGAAACTTCTCACAAAACGGACGCGTGGTCACACGCCACGCCCGGAAGATGCTCTACAAAAGCATCCGTAGGGCCCATTTCCCCTTCTCACGAAACCTTGCCACTTAAACTCCGGATCTGGGCCTGTCAGAAGGCAAACGTTCTCGATCTCCGAAGGCGGCAAGACCAGCTCCTCAAAGGGCATCGATTTCACCGCGGGTGGCTCGGGAGCTGAGGAGGTTCGGGATTCCGCGCAGTCGGCTTGGGGTGGTTTCCCTGCGTTGCTGGGGTATTCTTGACTTACTTGAAAGCTCGGATTTAGCGCGGGATTTTTTCAGGCTTTAGGAGCCTAGGCTACTAGGTTACTGGGGGTCTGGTCTATACTAGTGCCACTAACCACTCCTACCACTGCTGTTCGTCTTCCTCCTCATTCTGCTCCTACACCCTGCTTATCCTCAACCGATTTCCACAAAGCAGTGCCGAACTCAAGGCCAAGGTAGAGCTGAGCTCCCGACCCAGTAGGCTTGGGCGTCAGGATGAATTCCAGCAAACATCATGTGATCCTGGCGCTTCTGGCACTGTAGCTTCGAAGGCATACGAAATACCTCACCTCAACAAACTACACACCGAGGCTTCTGCCCACTCACTTCTGTCATCTTCTGACCCTACAACCAAAGGCACTGACAATCAGCCTTTTCAGTCTAAGCTACTTGGAGGTTCATGCGTAGTCATAAGTGGAGCTCTAAGTAAGGTAACCATACTTATAACCCTTATTATGGAACTTATACCTCCAGTTATAACTACCCATGAACCTCCAAGTATCAAACCCTAAACGGCCCTAAGCCTGGAACCCCAAATCGTCGCCTGGATCTCCTCTCTGGTGCGGTCCATGGTATCCGAGGATCCTGAACGGTCCTGGACAGCGCGAAAACAAAGGTTCCGGTTTCGGGTTTAGAGTCTAAGATTTAGGGTTTAGGTCTAGAGTTTAAGTTTAGGACCTTAGGATTTAGAGTTTTCATTCTGTTGCGGCTGCAATTGTAGCTCGGCAGCTGAGAACCGGGGATTCGGTCCCTGTTGATCTCGTTGTACGCCCTGTTGCGGTTCATCGCTCCCCTTTTGATGCTTCTTCGAGGTCGTAGCTTGCTGTCTCGCTCCCTCGACGTTTTGCTTTGTTAGGCTTTGTTCATTTCCCTGCACATCTACAGCAGATGTGGTTTTGGGGCTGCATGTTGCGTTCTGGACTTCGGACCACATTACGGCGTGAGTGAGTGAGTTTTCCGAGTTTAAGGTTTAGGCTCTGGCGCTTGAGTTCTGCGGGGCTTAGAGTGTAAGGTGAACTCTCTCGTGGGAGCCTCAGGCCTGTCCATCTTTTCATGACTAATGCATCAAGAGCACTTGTCCCAAACTCCTCTGAACCACCTAAACCCTAAGCCACCTAAACCCCCTGATCCCCAAACCCTAAACCCTAAGCCACCTAAACCCCCTGATCCCCAAACCCTAAACCCTAAGCCACCTAAACCCCCTGATCCCCAAACCCTAAACCCTAAGCCACCTAAACCCCCTGATCCCCAAACCCTAAACCCTAAGCCACCTAAACCCCCTGATCCCCAAACCCTAAACCCTAAGCCACCTAAACCCCCTGTCGCCCCTCGAAGGATGCACTGCACCGATCCCTGCAATATAGGGGCCTTAGTAATTAGAACAGGGTTTCGACGCCCGTTATACTATAAGTAGAATAAGGAACCCCAACATAGTTTTGGTAACTATTTCAATTCGGCCCCAATAGTACTTTTCTATTTTGGTCCTTTGCCGTCGCAGTGGTTTTAGGGTTTCACTGGCGTGCATATTAGTGTTCTGGCCACGGACGCTAGACATAATTACTAAACACTGTAAGATAGGGGCCTTGATTGGGTTTTGGGGCCCATTATGCTATACGTATTACAAGATAATAAGGAAACCCCCAAAATAGTATAGGTCATTCTTAAACCCCCTATACGATAGGGGCCTGAATGGGGTTTTGGGGCCCATTATACTATACGTATTACAACATAGTAAGGAACCCCCCTCAAAAAACAGAAATTCTTAAGGCCACATAAGGAACCCCCCCAAAAAATAGTGTAGGTACTTCTAAAGGCCCCTATAATATGACCCTAGAGCTGAAGTTCGAGTTGACACGCGGCCACCGAACTCTTCCACGAAATGCTTGAACTCCTCCTGGCGACTTCTGCTGCGGTTTCGGGCTCATAGGGTTTAGGGGTTGAGGGGCTTAGGGTGTATAGGGTTAAGGCTTTCGGGGTTTAGGGTTTTGGTTTTCGGAACCCTGAACGATGTCCGAAAACTTGGGTCCCGTGCACTGGAACCGGAAGCCCGTGAATCCAGAGTCAGGGACTATCCGTGTGGGTGTCTAGGTCTGAAGGTTGCCTTCTTGAAAAAGGGGGGGCGAAGAGGTTGCTTCCCTTGTCCCTCCTTCTCGACTTTTCCCGTGCCGTTCTTGTCGAGCTTCTTCACCAGGTCTTGGACTTCCGCGTCCTTCCGATTCGGCGATATGTCGCGGCTAGGACCAGGGCTGCAGGGCCGGGCATTGAACGACGAATGCAGACGTTAACTCTCGACATGCCGGATTGATCTTCCAATTATTGCATCTGCAGTAGTCAACTCTCTATAGACTTACTTATGCAACTGCTGGACTTGAAAAAGGATGTCAGGTAAGTAATAATGTAGTTGCTGGCAACACTGGGGTTTGCACAGTTTAGAGGCGCAGCGAATCAGCGGAAGCGGCAATACTAAGCAAAGCATTAGTACTTGCATTCACGCCATGTTTTGGTTTTGTTGGTTCAGTTCAGTACCGTGACTAACGGTGGCAATTGTCCGTGCTGGAACTATAGCAGCCATACATAAGTATACCAGAGCTTGGAGGATGGGGAATCGTCACATTGAAGCCCCTATCCGTTCAAGGACAAAGGCTTTTCGGGTGTGGAGGCGGCATTGGTCCAGGGCTATGTCACCAACGTCCGAGGGACAGTATGATACATTGCACAGAAAAGATGGTGCTATCGGAAATAGCACAAGTGCTGGCAATGGTTACAAGTGGTTCAAGCATCGTGCGAGGTTCGGGATGCA